GTTCAACGTAAATGTATTGACAATGCCTAAATTTAAACAATTAAAAAAAAAAAGGTTTGACTGAATCAAAAGTCACTTTAAATAATTCCAATAATTCTAAAATTAACATAGTTGGAAAATAAGTTCTTACGTGAGACATCTTAAGGTGATAAAGAAGCGGAATTTTAAGTAGTTGCATGCGATAAAAATGTTCTAGCTATTTTAGGTTTATTTAAATTAAAAAATTCAATCTAGTACAAAGGTACTGTAAGTCCTGAATCTAATGAAAAGTTACCAGTATCCTTAAAGAGATATCAAGACTTATTTAAAGAAAATGGAAATTTAACTAGTTATTCCTGTCACATTAAAGTAAAACCAGAAGTTGTTGGTAAAACAGAGCCCCGTAGGAAAATCTCACTCAGTTTATTAAATACATTAAAAAAAGGACTAGCAAGCACAAAAGACTGTATTATAAAGAAAGTTAACCAACCTACAGAATTTGCAAATTCATTAGCTGTAATACGAACAAAAGATGGTAGTTTAAGAGCATGTTTAGATCTTCAGAACCTTACCCAAAATATATTGAGAGAACATTACTGCATACCAACTTTTGAAGAAATTTAATCTCAAATATCAAATGCAACAAAGTTCAGTATTTTAGATGCAAACAAAGCAATTGGGGCAAATTAAACTGTCAGATTCAAGTTGTGTGGCTTACTAAATTTAATACTTCATCCAGTAGATACTATTTTTTAAGGTTGCTATGTAGATTATGTTCATCAATAAAAGTTTTTCACAGAAGTTTGTTTGAAATTTTTGTTAATATAGGAGTTCAAATGTATATAATGTTAAATTAAAATTAAATAAATGTAAAATTGGACTGAATGAAGTCAAGTATATGAGTCATATATTTTCTAAAAATGGTTTAAAACCAGATGAAAACAAAGTCAAGCTAGTTTAGATATAAAAAACCACCAAAATATGTCAAAGAATTGAAAACCTTCCAAAGCATGATTACTTATATTTCTAGATTTATACCTAACATATCAGAATTGAAATCATGTTTAAGAGATTTGTTGGAAAAACAGGTTGTCTAGAACTAGAATACAGTACACAAAACAGCATTTAGAAGACTAAAAGATGTCAGAATAATTTAACAGTAGCATATGCATCAAAGGCATTAACAAATACACAGAAGAATTATGCTCAAACTGAAAAAGAAACTTTAGCTTTTGCATTTGCATGTCAGAAATTCCCCCAGTGTACATTTGAAAAATCCAGCCATATCAGTTTGAGATAAAATATAAACCAGGAAAAAGACATTTTTATAGTGGATGCATTATCAAGATCATTCACCAACAAAGAATCTGATTTCTTTCGAGGAGACATAGAAGACCATGTTGGAATTGTTATAGAAAGTATACCAATGTCTAAAGATAAAATGGAAATTGTTCAATAGGAAGCAGAAAAAGATGAAGAACTAAAAGTTTTATGATGATTAATAAAAACTGGATCTCCAGAAATGAAAACACCATAATTTAGCTTCAAAGGAATTATTGGAGGCAATTCATGTGATGTTGTACCTAGGAGTTAAAGAACAGATATGTTAAGTACAATTCATTATGGTCATTTCGGAGTACAAAAACACAAGAATGAAGCAAGAGAAATATTATATTAGTCAGAAATGTCTAAAGAAATTGAAGATTTGGTTCCGTATTGTCCAGCATGTTTGAGTTTCTGAAAAGCTAATAGTAAAGAATCAATGATATCAAAAGAAATACCCAATGGTCCATAGGGAGTAGTGAAAACAGATCTCTCTTACCTTTAATACAGCAATTACATAATAGTTATAGAATATTTTAGTAAATATGTAGAAACTGAACATTTGGAAGATTTGTCAAGTGTAACAGTGATTAAAACAGCTAAACTCGTTTTTTGCAAGACATGATATCCTGAAAATAGTATATTCGGATAATGGTCCACATTATAGTTGCAAGAAACTTAGGGAATTTGCAAGGAGATGGAATTTTGAAAACAGAATTTCCAAATCAAAATTATCCACAATCACATGGAATAGTCGAAAGACACAAATTCAAATTATCAAGCAATGCTACAAAAAAGCTATAGCTGACAAGGCTCCATACTTAGTACTACTGGATTATTGTAATCCTCCTATTTCAGTGGAAATTAAGTCACCTTCAGAATTGATGTTCGGAAGAAAAGTGAATGAACTGATGCCCATAAAACAGAATTTCATCCAAACTAAACAACATAAAAAAGAATGGCAATATTTACTGAAGAGACATGCATTACAAAAATGTTATTGTGATAGAAATGGAAAACCATTAAAACCACTGCAGAGAGATCATGCGTATATAAATGAAAAAGGGAAAAGCTAAAAATGATGGGTAAACTTACAGAAGAAGCAGAAAAGCCGTGGCCATATTGGATTAGAATAACAGATGGAAGAAGAGCAGAAAGGAACAGAAGAGACATTCTAAAAGGAACTAACTGAAAAGCTTTCACAGCACAAAACAATTATAAGAATAATTGTGAAGATATGAATGAACCTGAGATTAGTAGCAGTATTCCAAATTTAGATGTGACAATAAATTCTCCTACATGTAACAGAAGTGTTATGCCACCAAATTCTGAAAGAAGTGCTGCATCACCAAATTTGGAAATGCACACAACTATGCTACTCGAACTGGCAGGATGGTTAAAATATCTTATTATTTTAAAGATTATGTATAATCTTTCCATTTATGTTAAAAAGGGAGATGTTAACATAATACATATTATAACCATAAATGTAGTATAAAATATAGTAGTAATGTAGAATAAGCGATGTTTAGCTGATCTTGTAATAATTATTTACACTTATTTAACATATAAATAATGTTATAAGTATCATTTTGAATTACATTTAACAACTTGCTGATTATAATAAATGATAAATTCCCTTCATTGGCTTGTATATAAATGGGCAGGCAATTCAACAAAAAACACTAATGAAAACATTAATCCCAATCACACTAAGCAGTATAAAATGTCAACTCTTAAAACTTGAATTTCCTAAACATTGTTTTGCCCAGAACATTTTTGAAGAACTTGGGAAATATGTAATATTAATTAAATTTATCAAATTTCAGAGAAAATATGTAAATAAACTAATAAATTTTATTACCAGTTCATTCATTCTCAAGCAAGAGTTCAACATAACATGATTACTACAATACTCGCCAAAATTACGAATAATCCTGAAAAATACGCTCAGCGATTAAATTTTTTTAAATAATGTCCAATGATGTAATTATTTGACACTGAACACAATATTGAACTAGTATGTTTAGAGTAGTGCATTTTTTATTTTTTATTTATTTATTTTTTATTATTATTATTTATTTTGATGGAGCACAATGAATCCTGGTTCAGCTGTTAGTAGTCTTATCTAAAATAATTTCTGTTCAAAAGGGAGTCATATGGGGGGGGAGATTGTTTATTGCCACCACAAAGTCGTCAGTTAAGACATGTTCAAAAGTGGCAATTAACAGGTAGAGGAGGGTAAACACAAATGGATGTCTTCAACACCTAGAATATCCCTCAAAGTCCACAAATATAAGGACTTATAAAAAAGATAAAGGACTTATAAAAGGCTTGGGACCACTTTTTAAACAGTGAATCAATTAGTAGAAAGTTTGGTAAAATGCGGCCAAGAGTAACAACTGCTTTCAAAAGGCAATTTTTGATTAAATATCCATTTGAAAGGACCATAAAGCAACTATAAAAGATTTGTTTTTGGATTTTCAAGCTGATACAAGAATTCAAATCAGTCATTCTATTGGTGCACAAAGGTTTCATGATGTTGAACTTCATCGAAAAAAACTAATGGTCTGTGTTTCACCCAATTCATCTTCCAAAGAGGTTTAAGGTGGTGATGTCATCACGTTAAGAGCGACCCTAAGAAATTGGGCTTCATACTGTTTGTGAAAGAATCCAGCTATCACCTGAACTGTATTCTAGATGTGTTTTGATTAGAAAAAAGTGAAGAATGCAAGGCATGACTTAAGTTGCTTGTGAAAGATTGCATTTCCACAGAAATTATTTCATGGTTTGGCATGGAAAAATGAAAAAAATAGCTGCATTGAGCTATATCTCTTTGACAAAGGTTCTCCAACCCCTCACAGTATTGAAGCACAATACAATATTGGACAAGGTCTTGGAACCCCATGCAATGCTATTCATGGGTGCTATAGCCCAGAAATTTTGCTAATGGATGACAATGCACAGAACTTCAACTGACTGCTGTCAGAATATTTGGAAACAGAAGAAATTATCTGAATCGATAGGCCTGCTTATTCACCACATTCAAACCCAACAAAGCACGAACAAATGCCTTGGACTACTTAATTGCAGCTTGTCAAATGCTACTATGCACCCTATAGGATGTAATGGCATTTCTCTCAAGAATGGCATGCAATTTCCCAATACTGGAACAACAGTTTCGCAAATTCATTGAAATCAAGAAGTGAGATTTGCATTTCTTTCAGAGAATACCATGCACCGTATTAAAGAAAGATCTGTTGTAAAACAAGGGGGATCATTTTCTATCATTTTAAAATTTTCAAAATTTTGACTTTTAAATTTTGAAATTAATTAACTGACAAGTATGCTAATTTACATTAAATAATGCTTCCACATAATTTGCTTTTAATAATTTTCAAAAAAGTTTCACCTCTCACCAACATGATATATGATATATATAAGCATAAGGTATTTGCTAAAAGAAGCATTTAAAATAACGAATTTTTCTTGGAGATAAAGAGTATCATTATTAACCAGCTCATAAAAGAATGTTCATTAAACACAGATGATCACTAGCATCTACACATGTCAGTAAAAATTTTATATGTATGATTATTAGAATCTTACCTGCATGGTATGTTACATATATGTTAAGCTACTTGCTAAAAATTTAATGTGATAATTTTTTACTCTAAATAAAAAGTATGAATACTAACCAGTACGTGAAAGAATGTTCACCAGTGACATTGTTAAAGGTAAATTTCGGTTTATACTTCTCAAGGATAGAAATATATCTGGAAAATCAAAAATGAGATATTCATATTAAACTACAGATGAATGCAGAATTAAAATAAAATCTGAACACATTTCAAACATCAGTTCCTAAATCAAGATAAAAAATTTTGCATTAGTTGAAGATTTGTTCTTTTCAAACAATATCTAAACTTAATTTAGTTACTAAAGCATACTACTGGGGGATAAAATGTGGTGCCATGAACAACAACAGCTATCAAAGCTATACAAGGTACAAAGTTAAGTTCGATAAAACTACAGCCCTGTTCAGTTTGTGAGCATTAAAATATTTTTAGCAGTCAATATTCAATAGGTGGCAACTTGGGCTGGCCAAGGCAGCACTTCAACCTGGTGGACAAAGAAATGAATATTGTTTTCCATGTGCAGTCATGCACTGCACTCTTGAAATTTGGTTGCAGGAGAACAACAGGCTTCAGAATGATGTAGCAATGGAATATTAGGTAGGTATGGCAGGAACATCCAATGGTACTGCAAACTATATCTCTAAATGGCAGACTTAATGCAAGAATCACGATGTTTGACACCAGTGTCACCAGACTTAAATATGAACACTATGGTATTGTAGACAGACTTGATATTTGTTCAAAAGGACAATGTCAAGTCATTCATTTTCCCATCATCAGCCAGGTGGTAAAAGCCACTGAACACTGGCAGATTGGTCTGGAGTTACAGCACCGGTGAGAACAAGCTGATTGCATGGGTGTTTATGTGGCTTTCCCCATTTATGGTTCCCCAGTTTTCCGCATTCTGGACACAAGTCAGTTTCCCTTAAAAAGTCCTCCATGCGGCATCCCTCCATTCTACTTAATACCTAATAGTAGACCATGTAATAAATAACGAAAAAGTCATTCATTTATCAGTGTTCATTGCAGCCACATATGTCTGTGGCACAGGTTAGGTTAGATAGGTTATCTGGATATGGCAAAGCCCACAAGACTTATCTGCCTAAAGAAAGGGATGCCTTTTGAAGGACTTTCTAAGAGAAACAATGGTAAATGCAGCCATGAATGTCTTGAAAATATTCCCCTAAGTAGAAGGCAAAAGCAGACGGAATGTTTTGATACAGACTGCAGTACAAACAGGTCCCAGTTCTCATAACAAGGTTTTTGATGTTGTTATATGATCCATCAAATTGCCAGACACAAAACATGCCTGATCTTTAGTTGAAAGTAACATGAAAAAACTCGCACAATTGTTTTAGATGGTCTCTCCACCCCTTCTGCATGCACCGATTCCCTATCTGCATCACTGTGGCTCGATTTCATCTAACATAAACAACTATTTCTTAGGAGGATAATATGAGTCTCTATAAGACACAGATTTTCCTCTGTCAAACACAGAAACATGCTCAAATGGATTTTTTTTTCACTAAAGCTTCCTTTGTAAATGAGCAGTAGTACAACCTGCAGCTGCAGTACATAAAACAACCTATGGTTCTGCCTTCTTATAGTGCATCTAGTAAATTCTTCATTTATCAGATATGTACAGATATGTAAAAAATATTACGAAAAGAGACTTAAAATTAACAATCTACAGACTCATTCCTTTTCAATGATGTGAATATGAGCCAGTTTCCCTTAGAAAATCCTCCACAAAGGCATCCCTACTCTTGAGAAGACAGCCCTTGGGTGCTTTGTTATATTTCAACCTAACCTTTTCAATGGAAAATAATAACTTGAAAAATATAAAGCTTCTGAATTCTTTTAACAAAACATTATATATAATATACATTACATTCATAAGCTTCATCATCCTCATACGTTAAAACTGATTTCAGCTTAATATTGGATAATCTAAAAAGTACTGAGCCTTTTATTTGTGAGATAGCATTAGTGTCCCCATCTGAGAGCATCTGAATCTGACAGTATATCAGATAGCAGGTCAGGCTGAATGTCATTTGACATCTAGCATTTGAAGCTAAACAGATGAACAAAAAGTGTTGGAATTCTTACACTCAGACATAAGTATTGTGTCACGAAGTTGAGTGAACCTTTTGCAAAACTATTTTACATTTTACAACTTTATTTCAAAAAAGGCATGTAAGCTATGCAGGACCATGTAGAAATTTATGTTGTTTTACAGGCAAGATATGTTATCATAAGCAACAGCCAAAAGACAATTAAGCTGCTTTCATTCTGGTAATTTCAGTGCTCAAGATGATCAAAGTGCTTTTGAAATGCTCAAGATGTTTAGATGCTCTTAGATGCTGAAGATACTCTTTGCTGCTTGGCAGCACTTCATGGAGGAGCTGTCATGCAGAACAACAGATTTGGGCCTGTACTATTGACAATTAGAGCGATTGCACTTAGCAATTCAAAAGAAACACCTGGTGCATGTCAACAGAAAAGGTGTTGTATACCACACTGACAATGCTAGACAGCATACATCTTTAACCCTTTCAGGACGGGCGTCCCATATACGCATTCCCTATAAACGTCTCTTATAGCCAGGCATCCCATCCACACACCGCTAGAGATTGCATTCAGAGGACGGGTGATGTGTATACGCATTTTAAGCTGGAACGTTTTTCTGAAGGCCACTAGATGAATGCCACTTATGTCTATTACTTTTGAAATGAACACAGTTTTAGGTTCCTGACCTTGAGTTTGATATATTCTGCTTGACTTTGGTATTTTACTTATCAGCTCTTGCGAGGGTGGGGCAGAGGGAAAGCGTAAACAGAGGTGAGCTCTTTAAATTGCTGCGTGCTAACGAAAACATTGGCATGTCTGAGTTATATCCAATTCCTTTTTTTATTCTATTTTTTCCTTTACTATGTACAGTCTTTTAGGGTTAGTATGTGAAGTACTGTTACGTTTTGCATTGCCTTCAGTTATATTTCCTTTTCTTCTCTTTTTATTTCGGAAAGCCTCCCCTCCAGTCTATTATGGCGGGAAGGTGCTATTTATCAGAGGAAGAATACCCTTGTATGGTCAATGAACCATTTATTAATGCAGATGAGAGTGACGATTCAATTTCTAAAGAGTTAGAAAGTGACACTTTTTCTAAGAGCTAGAAAGTGATACTTCTCCGTACTTCAAGATTTACCACAGTCTTCATTTTAAATTTTGTTACTTCTTACTGTAAATAGTCTTTATTATGTTGTTTTATTAATTTAAAACTTTATTGATGGATTTTATCAATTGAAACTTCGGAATAATTTGAATAGCGCTTCCGAAAATTATTTTACAAGATAAGCAATTTTTTAAGTATATATTTTAATGTAAAATTTAAAAAAATGTTATTAAGTGCTAATTTTAACATATATAAGAGCTCAAGTAATAATCTAAAATGATACCAAAAATTACGATGATAGAAGCGAAACTTTTTTTCTGATTTTTTTTTAATATAAAATTAGGCTTAGCAATGCAAAACATTCATCCTGTACAGTGACTGGCTTCGATTCCCTTTCGTCCCGCATGAGCGTCTTAAACAAAGGTGTGCCGTCGCGAAAAGGTTAACAACCTGTCAGAAATTGAGAGAACTTGGGTGGAAGATTTTTTCCTCTCACCAGAGGTCCATGAATGGCGCTAAGTTTTTTAAAAGAGGTCTCTGGAACCCACGCCACAGTATTTCAACTAGTAACCACAGAAATTCTATAGTGATGGGATTATGGTATTGTAGTAAAAAATGGCAGAAGATCATTGACCAAAATGCTGCATATGTGATTTCATAATGTTATTTTCCAATATTAATAAATGTATTTTCAATTTTGACATCCAGAGGCTTAATACTTTTTAGACAACCCAATATTTATCTTTTACATGAAAAAAACTTTCCACTTAGAATTAACTTCATTGCTTCAATAAAAAAATGCAAATATAATTGAAAATTCTCCCTCACTAGTGTGAAAAAAATTGCATTTAACACTTTAACATATTATAATTATATTATTGAGCGAAAATGGCACATAATTTTAATTTTTTCCAGCTTTATATAAGATGCTGCAGCCATAAGAAATTTTATTTGCAATAAGGCTAGCCATATTCATTCTCAGGACTGGCAAATTAGCATTGCCAATATCACATACACACTCTCAAGCATGCATGCACACACACACAATGCTTTCAAATATTTGATGATCACAAATCCTATAAAATTTGGTGTTTAATAGGCCTGATTATCTTGGATTGAACTGTAGCTTAATTTCTAGTAACTGTCAATACACTTACAAATAGTGTAAGCTTCTATACTTCCCGATAAATTTTTTTAACTTAAAATGAAAAAAATTACGACAAAATCTAATAATGAGCTTATATAAAATGATGAAAGATTAAGGTCATTTTATGAAGAAAAAAGAATACAAATTATTTCATACATAAATTTTTAGCTTTGAAAAGGAACTGTTACATAAACATCGCAAAGCAAATAAAGTGACAGTCTAAGCTTAAAAACAGCATTTTAAAAATGAAATATATCTCTAACTGACAATTAATTATATGAATTTCACACTTACTCATGTCCAATGATTGGTTTGCCCGACATTCCAGAATAATCATTTCCATAAAAGTTTAAACCTAAAAGTAACTTTTTTCGATAAGGACTAGATTTGTCTGGTATAAGATCTTCAACACACTGAAGTAGCCATGGTAAAGGACTGTTAGGACCTGGCCTGAAAACAGAAATAATGTCCTGAATTATTTATTGAAGAAATTGTTAAAAAATTTATTTTTAATTTTTAAAATCACAGCTGTGTTAAAACTATTAATTCAAAAATTAAAAATTAAATCAACAAAATTTAAAAAAAAAAAAGAGTCTAACAGGTGCATTTATTCTATTGTTTTAAATTTTCTTATTTTCCTCTAAAAGCCCACAAATCCTCAACAATGTTATCTGTATGCATTAATTTGATAGCACTTCATGCTAATAATATAGCAGTTCTATCCCAGCACAAGAATCTTAACCCAGGTATCACAAAATTAGAAGATCATATTCACTCACAAGAGACATTGTCTCTGTAGTTGCAGTATGGATTAGACAAAAAATTCCAAATCTCATCATATACAACAAAAATTCCTTGGACCAGTCACTATGTGTGTTATGCTAGATGTTAGGCTTATATTTACGCAATGCATATAAGTTATTACTGAACCCCTACATGTCATTCTTTTTTTGAGGGGGGTAATATTCGCAACTGCGCTGGAACCCTTTTACACTAGAGGAAAACGTATTAAAAATTTTTTTGAGATCACCCATAATGCAGGATAAGTAACAGATATGTCACTCTGGTGTCAGAATTGCTGATATCCCTTTTTAAACTGCACCTAAAATTCTTTCTTAATGCTTCTTCCAATCAGTTCTTGGAACATGACATCCGAATCTTCAATATCACTGTATCGATTAATAATCCAGTGTAATATTTCCATAATCAAAACATCCTCAAACATGGTTTCAAAATCTCTATGAAGGGCACTTAAATTTTAAATGTAAGCCAAAACATCATCATTCCGGCAGTGTGTCTGCAACAAATTGTTGTCCAAAAAATTCCAGTTGTCCAATGTTTTGCTTCATTAGGTTAATTCTGGCAAAAGCTACACGGATAGACTAGACTTTTATTAAATTTAGATTGCCACTTTGTAGCTGCAGGTTAATCTCATTAAATTTAGTAAATAAATATGTTAAATAAAAACATCTGGTTTATTTCTGATTAACTTTTCTTTTAAAATGGCATCCTAACCATCCCAAAACTCTTAAATAGTGCCCAAAAGTAAAAACACAGTTGTCGGCTCAGGCAAACTCGAGAAAGTTTGCAGATTGGGTCACCGCGTGTGATCACTAACCCGGCATAATAAAGAAGATTTTCGAGTCCTTGACTGTTGAGAAAAACTGCAACTAAACATAACAGAATTAAATGTCCATAGGTAGTCAAAGTCTGCAGTAGGGGTAACCACATGATGGAGAACCAAACGACACATGCCTGCGGTGCAAGTCTAAGACAAAGGTAAGTGCGCAAGCAAGATAAGCATATACATGACAGGTAGTAAAAGAAAATGCCTTAGATTGCAGAGTCAGTGTGACACACTCAAGTTTACATTATACAGTGGGAATAAAAATATACAAAGCAATTTTACAAATGATATCACAACACATTGATTATAGAGTGGGTGATCGATTAACGAACAGTTCGGACAGCAAGCAAATCGGACAACATACACTTTCAGGAAAGATTTTGTGTTCGGACAACGAATAATATTCAGATAACGAACAAAAACTTATCATAACGAAAACCTTTCAACTTTCGGAACATCCGACACTAGTCCTCAATTCGTCCTGAAAATGGATGTGCGCATGGGCTGACACGTCATGATTCATATTATGTAGCAGTGAAGCAGCACCGTACGACACGTACGGTAGTGTGCAACGACACTTTGTCAATTGTCTCCTGCAGTTGGTTTCTGTCCTTGTGATTTTCGTATGCGCTTTTCTAAATGCCTTATAAAAACCTGAAAATCTGACAATATTATGGGACCTAAAAAGAGTGGAGTGTGAAGAACTATGCTCACTATAAAAACCAAGCAAGAGATTATAACTAAAGTAGAGAGAGGGCAAAAAATGACCGATGTTGCTAGGCAATACCGCTTGAACAGATCTACAGCAGGCACAATCCTAGCTAAGAAAGATATCATCAAGAAGACTCAAGCCGCTAAAGGAGTAACGAAAATTACATCTGAGAAGCAAAGAAGTGCCATCCATGAAAAAAAGGAGAGTTTGCTTTTAGTTTGGATAAATGAATGAGAGACGAAAAGAGATGTAACTAGCATGGCCATCATTCAAGAGAAGGCTAGAGAAATTGAAAGAACAAACTCCAGGTTCGTCATCTGAAAATCGAGAATTCAAGGCTACCACTGGCTGGTTTGCAAAGTTTAAAAGGAGATCTGGCATTAAACATGTGGTCATGCATGGTGAGTCTCTAGTGTAGATAAAGAAGAAGCTGAGAAGATCCGTCTCAAATTTCAAGAATTCATTGAAAAAGAAGGGTATTGTCCACAACAAATATTTAACTGTGATGAAACTGGTTTGTTTTGGAAGCGCATGTCAAACCGTACCTACATCATGAATGAGAAAAGTGTTCTTGGGCATAAACTCATGAAAGACCGACTGACATTACTTTTGGGAGCTAACACTAGTGGTGATATGAAGCTCAAATCATTTCTCGTTTATCACTCTGAGAATCCTAGAGCATTAAAAACAAATTCCCATAATCAAGAGAAAACTGCCAGTGATGTGGAGAATGAATCAGAGGGCATGGGTCACGCAGGTTCTTTTCAAAAATTGGTTATTTGAAGTTTGTGCCTTGAGCATCAAGGACTACCTTGAAACCAATGACTTGCCATTGAAAGCATTACTGCTATTGGACAACACACTCAAAGGACCTTGAAGATAATTTGCTGATAGACTTTCCCTGGATGACAGTGCAGTTTTTACCTCCGACTTCACTGATTCAGTCAATGTCAAGAGGTTACTGCAGGTTTCAAGAAATTGTACTCTTGTGCCCTGTTTCAGCGATGTTTTGAAGCATGCTAATTCTCCTCAAAATGACTTTAAAAATGTTTTGGGTAGAAAAATTTGACATTTTCAAAGCTATTTGTCTTACTGAAAAGGTGTGGTCAGAAATCACTCAATGACAGTTGGTTTCTGCCTGGCGAAAGCTGTGCCCTTTATTTTCTTAAAGTAATTTTTCTTAAATTTACTTTATTTTCTCAAAGTTCTCAGAAGATGACCTTGATTTACTTTAAATTGTATATACCTAGCAACCTATTTATATTTTTGAAATATTTTCTTTTTTCTTTCCCAAAATTCAGAAAACAATTACAGTGTTTATGTCCAGATCTCGTATTTATAATTGACGAATTAAACAAGTCCGTGTCTGCACTGTCTTTACAAAGCTCTGGTACTTGTCAGGACAAGCATTGTTATGGAACATATGTGCACAATATGTTGCTCTTGGTAACAAATGTGCAAATTCTCACAAGTACTGTAATCTCAAATTGATTAGGTACCTACTAATACAAGTTTATGAAGTATACTTAATATATAATTAGTTAATTTATATGCATATTAATTACTTTATTAAAACCCATTTACCATAGTCAAAACATTCTCAAATGATGCCAGATCCATGGAACTCAATCTTTTACAAGCAAATAACATCAGTGTTGCCACGCATTGTTGCATGCGCTGTTTGGATTATATCCCACCAGTTAACTGTTTGATTAGCTCACAAATTTCTCTAACCTGTACACATGCACTTCCTCAAAAATTTGCATGTGCATACATATATATGCATCTCGCTGCAAGGCAATTGATTAAAAAAATAAATGAATACGCAGAATGTATTTACACATCATTTAAAAAAAAAGTGCAACTCTACCTTTGAGGACTAGAGTAGTCATAGCTCATGAGACTAAAGGCAGTTATATGATCAGCCAAATTTTCAAAGTCTTGTTTCACAAATATGCCAATCTGGCCACTGTAAAATAAAAGAAGACAAAATAAATATGCCATCAAATACTTTAATACAATTTAAAAGGTCTCTAAAATTTTATGTATTTAATAAGAAAGTATATTACTCTAATACATATAATTTAAAAATTTGCCAGGAATTTAAGCAACATTAAAGACCAATCAACTGCCAAACACTTGAAAACATGACTTCATCTGATATCCAGTTTTTGGAAAAACAAGCTATTTGCATAGGCATTTTGGTAGTTATATATATATACCGTACATACAGGACAGTTTTATTTAGAATAAAAGACATTTCTCATAAGCCAGATTTGATAAAGATATCTATCAAAAGGCAGCCATCTTGCATGTTAATGTTAATATAAATTCCCTAATCTCATGATATATGGAAAGAAAACTGCTATGGTACTCCCCTCGCCCCATGTTTACAGGAAAGTAAAGTAAATTTGAAAGCATATTTCTGTGATTGAAAATGATCATCCCTGGTTGTAATGAAAACTAATATTGAAGCCATAAACACACTATCTTCTAACAAGTATCTGGACACATGTGATAGAAAAGAAAAACAAAGTTTATTCATATTAAATATTTAGCAGAGCTTCCATGAGTGGCAATTACAGCTTCAACCCTCCACAAGTCCTTGTATAACAACCACTGGTATTCTTCCCCTCGACTTGGAGTTCATATAAGACATGCACGTTCCTTTACCGATGTTGGCCAGCTATTGCACTCCTTAATTCGGCAATCCAATTCATCCCAAAGGTTCTCAATACAGTGAAGGTCTGGGCAGGCCAGTCCATTTGGTTATCTCCATTGTTCCCATATGAATACATAGTGAACCTCGCAACATGAAAGCTGGCATTGTTATCCTGAAAGTAACATGAATCCAACTTGTAAAACTGCCACAATGTACGAAGCCCATTGTCATCCCAAACAGTGCAGAAGGCACTAATGTTGAGCTTACCATGAATTTGGACCAAGGGCCCCAGTCCATACCACGACAAACACCCTCAGAGCTTAATTCCACCTCTGCCAGATTTTACAGTGGACACAAAGCATTCTGGCAGAAGGCGTTTTCCAAGCAGATGCCAGACCCAGACCCTACCATCTAAACAGTACATGGTGAACCTTTATTCACTGCTTCCGAGAACCCGCATCCACTGATCTACAGTCCACTATCAACATGCTTTGGACCACGTTAACCGAGCAGCATAATTGGACTTTGTGATCAAAAGCTTATGAGCCTCAGTACAACCATGAAAACCAAGCAGATGTCCTACCTTACGAACGGCATTCACAGAATAATACTTTTGGATGCCTATTGAAACTCCTGGGAGTGTGTGGGCCATCAACTGGGTACAGTTCTTCCAAACCTATCTGGACAGTGCCTGTTGGTCTCTATCTCCCAGTTTTATGGGTCTGTCGACTCGGGGCACATTTCGACAATCACCACTCACCTTTCACTTCTGAATCACATAGACCATCATCGATTTGGAGTAATTCCGCTTTCTAGATATGACCCTTAAGGATCGAACACTTCTGTGATATCTGACAATTACACTTTTCTCAAAATCAGATAACTCTGCACTTCAAGGCATCTTGCATGCAATTAATGCGAGTACTGTTTCCTACACAATATTTAAAGGTGTGACATATATTAGGACTGCAGATATTGACATTTGCATCGGTGTCCAAATACTTATTGCAGGATAGTGTATTTTAATATTCTTGAGAGAAAAATTTTAACTAACCAACTGATTTCAACAATTTTCCTACTCAGTGCAGTTTTCTCTTTTGTATGATCGTCATAAAATAACTTCATCCATCTCTCTGATAAACCAGGGTTTCTTAAACTTTTCTCAATTGTGACCCCTTTTTATCATTGAGATTTTTTCGCGACCCCTAGGACCTCATAATATTTGCAAAAATTTTGTGGGACCCCATAAGCCTTGTGCAAATCCGACACACGTGTGAGTGAAACTGTCAATTTTTTAATTTTTACTGTGGTATACTATTGCAGTTTTAATTTCAAAACTTTCATTTCTAATTTTAAGACACAGAATAATGTGAAAAATTTAAATAAGTAACAGACAAAATGACAGCATCGCATGCAAATCAAGGAAAATGAACGTTTATATTATAAAAAGAATACATCGAAACGTTTTTGTTTTTTTCTTTGTCTGTACTATATTATCTTTATCTAATTTCAGATACGTTGTGTAAAAATATTGGGTAATTGTAAAATTATTATAATAAGTTAAAGAAATATCAAAACTACTAAAATTTTTGGCCCCCACAGTTTAAGAAACCCTGTGCTAAATGATAGTTAATGGTAAAGACAAAATACATCTTTTGTCAAAAAAGTTCCAGGACAAAGGTCATAAAAAATAGAAAATTGCTTTACCAAATAATGATCTCAGCTGCTATCAAAGTAGTTCCCTTGGCTATCTATACATAACTGCAAATGTTTCTGGAGGTCTTGGAAACAAGCAGGGAAATCTTCAACTGCTATGCTTGCAAGCTCATTAGTCGCAGCCCCCACTGGATGTCTGCAATAATCTTGATGAAGCTTTCTTTTCAGTCACCTTTTCACTCATGGAAACAAGAAAAAAATCAAAATAATCTTTATCATAAATGCGGGATCACGTCTGGCTCAATTGAACAGTTTAGCAGAAATTCTTTTTCTTTCCTATTTCTGTTCATCTGTTAGTGAGTGAGGGATGATTCTTGCGTTTAAAGTTTCCGTTTTCCTAAATCTTCATGTAAAATCTTATGACACACATCATGATTCAAATTCAGTTCTTCTGATATCATATGCACAGTTATACAATGGTCTTCTTGCAATAACTGCCTTACATGCTCCACATTTGCATCGGTATGTGCTATAGACGAGTGACTAGCTCTGGGATCATCTTGCGCTGAATCTCTGCCTTCACAAAACCTTTTCTGTCACTTGAAAACACAACTTCTTGAAAGTGCCTTACCTACATATGCTTGCTTAATCATGTTTCACATTTCACTAGAAGTTTTCTCGAGCTTAATGCAGAACTTAATGCTCACTCTTTGCTCACAATCAGCATCATATCACCTTAACAAATGCAACAACAATCCGAACAGTATGTTGCTAAGCACAGCCCTCTAGTAAGTTTGCGTGGAAACATGTCCAAGGTCATGTCAAGTAAGAATACATACCAGATAACATAAAAACAACATTTGTTTCTTTTTAGTACTGCAAACTCAGAAATAAAAAAAAAATTGCTCTGGAACTTTTCTGACAAAGGATGTATAAAAATTATGAAAAAGTGAAGCCCAGCTCACTAATGAGCAGGCAAAAAATTTTGCTACTACCCGTAGCAGGTTTCTTTTTGGGTAATTGTTAATCCTAAATAAACTTAAGCACTTAAATGTAATTATTTGCACTGTCATTTAACAGAAGTCTCAGACATATTTATTTTACCTATGAACTTTAATGCTGCAATGTATACTAATTCATTATCCAGCCTTACCAAAATGATTGCCATACAATGAAGTTCTCTTGTTGATAAATTATGAAATTTTCTATTACAGTGGTTCTCATAGGACAACCCTTAGCTTGTTTTTTCTACTCATAAAAATATTACTGGAAATACCAAGACTAAGAAGTGACATGACTGTTGAGCATCAGTGATATGGAATTCAAGTGACCATCAATGACATGGAATATGTTACTTGTTTCCCACATCAAATATCACATTACCAGATAATGTGTGGCAATGCTGGCATACAGAATACACAATCGGTCAAACTCATCAGCTCATTCCAAAATTCTGTAATACAGTTTTGTACAAGACTTTCTCTAGTTTATTTGCAGGTTAAATGAAACAAATAATGCAATAGTAAGGCACATTTTCATTTCAAAGAGGCCGATACTAACTGGGCTGCACGGATAAGTAATATTTTAAATAATCATGTTGCTCAATGGAAAACTGAGAATTTAGCTTTTGTGTCTACCGGCATGCAACACCATACTGATGATGAGAAATTACAATGCAGTGTCTCCATATACCACTTTTCCATACTCTTATAATAATAAATATTATATAAAGTCTTATTTTTTTAATTATCTACTCAGTAAAAGAATCTCTAAGTACTATGGTGACATTTGGGCTGAATATTAGGCAGCTTGATGACATTGCAATTATGCAATATACAGGTTGAGTCCAAAATAAAGGTGCATATTTGAAATAAATGCAATGCGTTACTACATATTACACAGTGAAACGGTAAATGGCATATCACATTTTTCCCTTTCAAATAACAGTCACGTTTCCAAGTTAATGTTATTAGCCATTGAACATGCAGATCAAGTTAAAGTTCAGCATGAGAGACTACATTTGAAATGATTGTAGGAGTCATGATTTGTATGCAGAATTGTTGCCATAACTGTAGAAAAATGAAGAAAACTGATTGCTTACAACAAAAAGTATCCAAAATAGACATCTTTTCAAAGGATTCTCAATTGCACAGATCCAGCAAAAACAACAACCAGTATAAGGCTTCAAATGGAATCTGGTTGGCATTTTCAGGCATCGTTCTTCCGTTTGAAGAACTGGCTCTACAGCTGCACTATCTGTCTCTCTAGCCATAATTTTGTAATCCTATAATGTGAGCATATGTGTAGCTGTATTTCAGATTCAACCTGTACACTACTCATTGACATAAATGATGAAAAAACTGTTATGCAAAGTCATGTTATGCAATGCAATACATGCCATAAAAAATTTTATTGTATTCTTATTATCAACGCAAGTCAAAGCATGTAACTATGATTGTCTATATCTTGCACATGTAATATACATGTACATGTTTAATTACCTCATATAATCAAAAATTTGGTTAATAGACTAGATTTTAAATCATGCCTTTTTTTTTCCAATAAAATTTTTCCAAAAATGTTTATTTGAAATTCTAAAAGTACGTGCCTGAATACTTACTATTTTAAGAAACTAAAGGAAATCTTTTGTTAGTAAATAGAATTTGTTTCCTTTAGTTAAATAATGAACCCATACAAAATTTTATTTCATGGTAAAAATATTCATTAATAAAACAGAATATGTAAACTTCATCAAAATTTATGTAAATTTAAACTTTCATCAACTTTCTTACATGCATTTTAATAAGACATTAAAATGAGCATTAATTGTGTTTTTTTTTTTTTTTTTTTTTTTTTTGTAGTGGTCTAAAAACCTGTTGCACTTTTTTAATAGTCCTGTATCAGCTGCTGCACAATCTCATCAGTTTTTTTTTTTTTTTTTTTTTTTTTTTTTTTTTTTTTCTTTCCAGAGTACCAGAAGACCTATCTTGTTACTGAATTCCAATTCACAATCCTCCACATCACTTTCAATGCTGCAATTTTATTAGTCTCTGGATCCACAGTGTGAAAGATTTCTCCATCACTCAGAGCTTACAAATTTCATTCACTGCTTTCACATTTCCCTCTCTAATAGGATATAGTTAAATGACCCACTATCGATTGCAAACTGTCAAAATATCAATTGCTGAAAGGACAAATTGGGAATGTTAGTGATATTCATTGTGTTCTTCCTAAAATGTTACTAAATTTTTCCAATGATTCCTTTAAATTATTTGTTGGCTTGGTTAACTGAGACCATGGATGACAGGAGCTCGCTTACAGAGTTCTGTACTTCATTGACATGAAGGCAACATCTTCATACAGCAAGACTTTGTAGAGAAACTTCCAACATATTTTCACATATTTTCCCAATATTTTTTCTGAATTTGACAGACAACAGGCAGTTTCTATCTGAATAGTATTTAAACTGTATTAAGTTTCAACCTAATCACACAATGTAATCAGAATACCTCAGAATTTTTTACAAGCAGTAAAAAACTCTGAGGTACTCATTAAAATAAACTAAATTTTAGCTTCTATAATACTGTTAAATTTTCTCATTGTTGAGAAAGTCTAAGCCGTTCATGTATAGAGGGGAATAGGATGATTAAGCAAGCACTTGAACACATTAAATGGCCCATTTTTTTTTTAAATTTTTATTATACGAACTGCAGTGGAAAGAAAATTTATGTTAAGAATTTCTTTTTTTTAATATGGATTTCTTTCTGCATATCTTAATTCAAATTCATACACTTCATAATGCCTTATTTATGTAATTATTTAATCTTTTCTAAAACATATAGGCAGTTATTCAATGCAGACATAACTTTTATGCAGTATCTCACACTGGTGGGCATTTACAAGGCATAGCAATAAAGTTCAGTGAATGATAAGAGATGCACATGCACAGTCATAGGTAAACAAAGAAGTGTGGAAAGATACTCCATAATTTGTTTTAACATTGTGTTTGAAGGAACTCAATTCAGCATGGGAATAGATGTCTCGATTTCTCGTAGTAACACTCTAGCATGCAAAGGTGTAGCAGTGGCTTTAAAACACACCTGTAAATAAATTTAAAATTCCGTTTCAAGCTTGATAAATCTGCAAAAGTAAGTGATGTCAGATAAACTAATTTCTGGAGTTGGAGCCATATCTTTAACGTATGCTTATGGATGGTTTTAACATCTGCAGGACCGGCAAAATTCTACTGAAGATGCTACTGTGAGTGGCAGGCCTGTGTTTTGGCAAATTTATTGCAAAGGATACATGATCTATGGCCAGTACAAGCCAAGGCAGGCTCTTAGTTCTTTTTCCATGAAAATGGTTAGCTACATTTGGCCCACAACATGAAACAGTTTCTGGCCTGTACAGAAGTTGTACCCTCTACCACCCAACGCATTCACCTGATCTTGCTAATCCAAATCTATTCCCACACCTGAAAGTTCCCTTAACCCTCCAAGCGTGACAGGTTTGGCCCTGAAATTTCAAAGTTCCACAAAATATCAATGAATAAATAGTATTTTCTTATTTAAAATTCCAAAATGGCCCTTTCACTTTACACCTTAACTCCTTTTTTTTCAATATATGTCGAACCCAAAACTGGATAAATCAACGGTTGGTAGAACTTTTCATGTGTAATGAAGTGAAAAACCATCCTTCTACATGTAATTTTACATCTACAACCTTTGGAGTGTTAAAAAAGAACAATTTTTGGTTATTCTAGACATTCAAAGCCATGTGATGAGCATTTTACATGCACTAAGGAAATGAAACCTTCTACAGTTATTAGTTCAGACAGTCCACCATTTTCAATAACTGTACATTTATTGTCAAAAGAGCATTGTAAGCTACAGACAAAATTTTGAAGGAATATAAAGTGTTCTTCCTGATTTAGGTAAGAATCTTTTATTTATGGACACATTCACCAAAATTTATTGTCATACTCTGCAACAAATTCAATTACAACTTTTGATTACTATTTATTATTGGGATGGAACGGGCTGACTTCCTGAAACATTGTGAAAAATGTTATCTCTAGCAGACACTTTCTCATACAATATACATATAGTGATACTATTAACTATTCACTTCCTTTGTTTGTTTATTATTTATATTATACTGAAGGTTCAAGCATTTACTAGTTTTAATGTCAAAGTTGGCACAAAAAAATACACAAATATTAGTTTCCTTATGCAACTTACTTCATTGCAAGCATTTATTCAACCAAAAATGTTTAGAATGTTGTCCGCTTTCACTGACATTAAAAAAATTCTAGTTTTTGCTGATATGAAAATCATAACAGGAAATGCTTATGAATAATTTAAGTTAATCAATAAATCTCTAATTATATTTAAATCATCATTATTTAATTGGATAACTTTCAGTATCTCTTAGAGCAAAATGCACAGTTAAAATTTCAACTGGGAAAGTGACGTAACTGGCCATTTAATACTTTAAAAACTTTAAAAACTGGAAAAAAAAAAAGATTAAAGCTATAGCATCCGCCCAACATTTAATACAGTCATTTTTTGTTATTCAACTGAATTAACTGAAAAAACTATCATGACAATATTATACCTAAGCCAAGTTTAACGTATTGCCATTTCCTTAAAGAAAAATATATAAGCAACATAATGAAACAAAAAATGTGTGATATAAATAGTATTTATGTAACTTTCCAATAATAATAATAATATGAGTTACTTTTTATATGCAGAAGTTTTACTTAAAATAAAAATCTGAAATTCTACAATAACATATGCAAAGAAAATACGTACAGACACAAAGAACCAATAACAGCATAAAAATTCATACATTAATCTTTAGTAACAAAAAGACATATATACCCAGAGTAAGATGGTGGTGGGATAACCAAAACAAGAGCTAAGTTTTCCTTCTGCAAGGCAGTAGCTAAGTTTATAAGCAAATTTGTTAATTCCCTGAAAAATAAAATGTCAGTAATTTCAGCAAAAATAAGAGTACATTTCAAAAAATTTAATAAAAAAGATAAGACACTTCCATAATTTTAGCTCAAAAGATAGTCACATAAAAATTTTGATCCCTTTATATAAAAAGATGTACTTTTATTAAAGAAACTATACATTATTAGATATGAGATACTTCATACCTAGTTATAGTATCACAAGCTTTCATATCAAAATTGACTTTAATCAAAAATAAAGAAAAAGGTGGTGGTTGAAACAATGAAATATTGATCGTTTATCAGAGGTTTACTTCCCAGAAGCTGAATGAGTCATTGAAAAAGTGTTATTTCATGTGTAATGTAAATATGAGAAAGTCACTATCAGAAAGTCTTCCCCTTTCACAGACCATTGTTTTTTCTCTAAGCATATAATAAATGATGTGCATATACATACATGCATACATAGGCCCATGGTCCTAGTTTAAAAATCTGCAATAATAAAGTACCCATAAGTCTAATTTTTAAATGCCTATACTGGGTGTCTGAAAATGCAATTACAGGTTTCATATCCTTAAAACTGAATCAACACATGTAATTCCAATTACAAAATTTGTCAACGCAAAATTTTATAAATACAATGCCAATAATGTAGGAACGAAGACTCTCTTAATATCAAATTTAAAAATTTAATACTTTTATAGTCCCCATAGGAGTGAAAATTTCAATCAGTAAAATGGTTAAATAAATTAAATACTATAATCTTTACTATCAAAATTCACAACATGCATAAAATTAATATTTCTGAGGCCATCTACAAATAAGATGCAACATTTTACCAAACATGAAACCTTTAAACCAAAATGAGCAAATTTTCATTACAGCTGTTTCGTAAATTTAGTCAAACATTCCAAGTTTCTTTCAGTAACATCCTTCAAAAAGTAATTTCAATATTAAATTCCTTCCTGAATATATCTATGAATTTTCTACATAAAGGAACATTTTATATTCAATTGATTAAAGTATAATTCATACATTGTTAATGGGCACATGCTCTACAAAAACATATAAAAATTAAATTTATATTTGCACTCTCTTTTCACCCAACATATAGAAATAGTTTTCATAAAATTATCACCTTTATTTAGATAAACAGCAATTGGAAGTAAGAGCATAGGAATAATACTTAAGGGAGTTAAGAGCTGTAGCAGTCTTTTATGAATAAATAGGAATAACGTTCAGTAAAAGAATGAGAGAGCAGCAACATCTTTTAGTAGAAATAATAACGAAAATTGAAAACTTAGGATAATAGAAATATAAAAGTTTTAGTTTGTAAAAGACTTTTAAATCACTATTACCATAATTTTACAATTTTCGTTATTATTTCTATTAACAAATGGTGCTACTCTAACAAATGTCCTCGGAAAACAAATATATTCCTAACTTAATTTTTCAGTTGCAGATATCTTTGCTTCTGATGAAGAGGGGCTTTGTTTGCCCTCCAAATTGATAGAGTTTCTATTCTAAAAATTTATGCCTAACACAGGTTGTTGCTTCACATTTATGATTTATTTGAGGCGTGTTTCTCTTCTATCTTTCTCTTGACATTGCCACCTTTTCCCCAACCAGGCATGATGATATTATTGCAAGAGTATACAAAAATAATGGCTGCTGCCATTTGCAGACACTCTTATTGCCGTTGCATATTAACTCTGTACTTACTATATCTGACCAATCAGATTGCTAGCTTTGACTCGGATTGTCAAAGAGAATTATAGCTTTGCAATATTTGCCATGCACACATTATTGAAACATAAACTGATATTCTTATTTTTTCCTTCCTTATATCAATTATTTAGCTTGGCATATCAAATACTATTACACTGAGTGGGACCCTTTAGCAGAACTGCTTCCACACCTTTATAATACTTCAAGTGAAAGTCAAGGATTTCTTTATAGCAGAAGCTCGCAAAGCACACAGTCGCTATCTGTTAGAGAAAGAGACACTTTCATAGAGAGGATTTTCTAACGCAAACTGACTTACATTCACATTACATGTGAAGGAAGCTCCAGAGCATATACAGCTAGCCCATTTACCATGGTTCAAACTCAGCTTAAATTACCAGTGTCATATGATCTTATCCACTGGCCATTGATAAGCTTCAAAAATTACACTATTCAATAATGATTTGGACGGGAAAATAATATATATATATATATATATATATATTATATATATTATTTAGTTTTAGGCAGTTTTCCTCAGAAGGTCCTCCAAATGAAGGCATCCCTTGCTTAGGTAGACAGTACTTAATATGTTTTGCCTTAATCAATAACCAATTAAGTTTCTTTAACAAAGCCATTTATCCCAGCGTTACTCGCACCGGGCTTCCGAGGCCCGATCAGTTTGTCAAAGCTATGTAAACCCTACCCCTTAATACTGAAATGGACCACACCCGGTCTAGCTGAGTGTAAGGTGACCTTTGACACAAAGGAGGCGTTTCCGTAACTTTGTTTTATTCTGTTCGGACAAAAAGCCATTTTTCGGGTCGCTTAGGCGTGGTGCGAGTAAACTTGTTTCTAATTTCGAATTTGAAGTGCACTGAGTTCGTAGCACAACATGGCTCGCAGATTAACATAGGATGAAGAAATGGAATGATTACGTAATTTGCTAGAGAACGATTATGTAATTTGCTCGTATCGACTGATGACGAATCTATCGAAGGTGATGATTTATTGTCTGATTGCGATGAAAGGTGAGCATAATGCATCGTCTGAAGAAGAAATCGAGTCTGATGAAGAGGACGCTATTGATTCTAATGCAGTTTGTGATTGTTTTATTGGAAAAGATGGAAAGACAATTCGGATGAAAACATAATTTCGTCAAACTTTATCGTGAAATATTATTTCAAAGTTGTGTGGAAATGTTAGAGTGCCAAAAAACGTAACTTCTCCTTCTGAGTCTTGGAGTTTATTACTGGATGAAAATATCTTGAATACGATCGTCACCTGTACAAATATATATATTGACACTATCAGTGACAACTTTCAGAGAGAACGCGATGCTAAAAAAACAAAACTCTCTGAAATTAAAGCTTTTATTGGATTGCTATATTTACGTGGTATACATAAATCATCCCATGTGCATGTGAGAGATTTATGGTGCACTGATGGAATGGGAATAGAAATATTTCATAGGAGTATGTCTCATAATCGTTTTTTGTTTCTGACGAGATGCATAAGAATTGACGATGTTAGAAACAGGCAAATGAGAAAAGAAATGGACAAACTTGCCCCAATAAGATATGTATTTGGCTCTATTGTGCATAACTGTCAGGAGTTTTACACAGCTGGATCATATGTTACAATTGACGAAAAACTCGAACCATTTAGAGAACGCTGTTCATTTCAACAGTATATGCCAAAAAAGCCAGCTAGGTATGGAATAAAGATTTTCGCTCTTGTTGATGCAAGAACTTTCTTTACATGTAATTTAGAAGTTTATGCAGGTACTCAACCCCAAGGTACCCAAGGTCCGTATCATGTAAATAATTCACCAGTTGAAGTCATCAAAAGGTTAACAGAAACGTTAAATTCTGGGAGAAATGTAACAGTCGACAACTGGTATACTAGTTATGAACTTGCAAAGTATCTCCTTCAGAAAAACATTACTCTAGTGGGCACCATAAGAAAGGACAAGAGGGAAATACCGAAAGAGTTTGTGAACAGTAAAAATCGTAAGATGCATTCATCCTTGTTTGCATTCCAGAAAGACATGACTTTAGTGTCGTATGTTCCTAAAAAAAAAAACAAATTTGTTAACCTCTTATCTGTAATGCATAATGATGACGCTATTCACCAAACAACAGGTGAGGCAAAAAAACCTGAAATAATAACATTTTAACATTGAAATAACAACAGCTGTTGATGTGGTGGACCAAATCTCAGCAGCATATTCAACTGCAAGCATGGGCAAAAGATGGCCGATGGTTCTGTTCTTTACACTGCTAATAAGTCGGTTTTTGAGAGATCTTGCAACAGATTTGCTGAAAGACTGCACAGCGGAGAGTTGCACTGTACCATGTCTCCCTCGACATTTGCAAAAAAAAACTACAATTGTACGTAAAACTTGGTAAGTTTTTTTAAAAAATTCTATACATATATTGAATAAAATTAGAGCTCTAAATATTGTCTTAAATTATGTTGTTAGTAAATGCTTAATGGGGTGTTTAATGATCTGCATAAAATATAAATCCATAAACGGGCATCGCAGGCCCGGCACGAGCACTTGCGTACGTACGATTAGCGCGAGTAACGCCAGGTTATTTAAGCCATTCATTCTCACTTTCATCATCCCTGGTACAGATTCCAATATATTTAATTCAGAATAAAAATTTGTTTCAAGGACCACACTAACAGAAGTATTTTTTAAATGAAATTCGTTCACTCAAAAGTCATAAAATGGTTAATCAAAGCAAAGTTAAGAAGCGATCACTGTTTAAGTCCTTCAGCAACAAGTACTGCTTAAAGATCATGGACTATCATACCTTTTCAAATGCTTTATGAATTTTTCAATATTACTGAAATAATGCTGTGAAATGCCAAGAAAAAGTAGATTGAGACTTGCAATCTACAAAGCACCACTCATGAAGAAAAAAGGACTGTACAACAGGAAAAAAAATATGAAAATGGCTTCTGTTGAGCTGATAATGCAAGATGAATTTAATGTTTCAGAAGAAGAAGTTTCATACAGCTTACAGTTACACATCTTTTTTAATAAAGAAAGAGGCAAGAAGAAAAAAAAGAGGAAAACGGTACTTTTAAAAGGAAAAGCTGCTGAAGTAGGAAAATTCGCGGTCTTGAAATATATAACACATTTCCTGTAGAAGGTAAAGCAATGAAATTAAGACTCAATTTATGGAATATTGTATACCTACAAAAAATATTTCATATGAAAGACATTTATTCTATATTAGAACTCAAATTGCATCCAAAACCACAGATGAGTATGTAACTGAC